ATTGATAGGAAATCCAAAATTTTCATATATTTATTGTTAATCAAAGCAATACCATGGCTATTTTTGTATTTATTATTTTTTTTTATGAAATGTACCATCCATAATATTTTTGCAGAGTCTACTTGGTATCACTTTAACATTTTATTCACACTATCGACATGATTTATTCGGTCCTTGTTGGAAGAAAATATCTAAATGGGCATTAACGTAAAACCAAAGAATCAAATAAATTATTTTTCTCTTCATTCGAAAAGTCACGAGATAATATTTATTCAATGATTAACGGTAATATTCGATCCGTCGACGTAAATTAAATGGAGAATTTCATTGTGATTTATTAACACTGGTTTCATTAATATTATAATGTAACTTCGCGTAATTTAACTATTACATATTCATAAACAGCGACAAGCTTAAACTAAATCAATATTTTACACAGTTATCAAACTCTAAAAATATTAATTTAATAAATCACACGATTATATTGAAACTTGTAAACGATTATAAATAGCGAAAGTTTAATGCAACATAAATGGAATTCCATTTTGAAACATTCGTAGAGCACTTACTTTTAGCTTTCATAGTTGATTTTCACTTTCTTAGAACCTTAAAGACTATTCACCTCAATATACGGAAGTATTAATATGAATGTGTAACCGCGTAAAAGGATATCTGTAGCTTTGCATAAAGTAATGACAGCAGAGGATCTCAAGAGCTACGAGAGAGAGAGAGAGAGAGAGAGAGTGTGTGTGTGTGTGTGTGTATGTGAGCAAGAGTTATAAAAATAGAGAGGAAAGCTGCGTCTTGGTGTCTGCACGTCGTCTTAGGAAGTCGACGTACCAGTGAAAATGCGCAATGGAAGGGGACGTAAAAATAATAAAAAGTCGTGCGAGGGCGTATAAACTGCGTGCAGAAATAGTTGAATTGGAGGGGGACCTGTTCCCTTTGTGTGCGAACCTCTGTTTCTCTCTATCCTTAAACATATACGTGCGCATATGCGCGTCTGTCATTCGCGAAATCTCAGAAAGGAGAATGAGCCGGCCTGTTTTGTATATTTAGAGGTGAGGGTGGAGTGGTTATGCGCAGTTACGGTGAATTTTAAGGTAGCGTAGCTCCTATTTTTGGAATTTATGCGGGAAGATATAAAGTTTGTCTTCGCTATATGGTGTTGCGAATAAGATTTTTCAAAGAAATTCAAGGTTCTTATTTGCTTATTTAGATTTTATATCGAGCACTTTGAATTCATGGTAAAATTACTTAGTAAATATCATATCTTTCCGACATATTAAAAAACAAGAATGGAAATATTCTTTAAAAAATATAGAGAAGTGTCATTTTCACGGTGCAATACAATTGTCTAAAGGCAAACGTGTTGTGCAGACGAACTAATACTCAAGTTATGTAAGATCATTAAAGAATAAAAAAAAAATACAGTTATTTTAGGAAAGGTGTCTCTACTTGAACTATTCGTTTATTCTAAATAGATATATCAATATATTCATATAGTATATATTTAAGACACAATTTCCAAGATGTTAATTAAACATTTTACCGTACAGTGTGTTGATATAAAATTGAATTGTTTGACGTTTCTTTTACATTATTAACTTAAAATGTTCGCGAAAATATAAATAAATAAGTTAGATGTCATCGTAAATATTATGTTTCCGGATGCCAAATGAGACAATGAACGGAAGATGTCGCTAGCTTCCAATTTAAACATATTATTGCGCAATTGCTATGCTCTCGGAGCGAAATCTGAAATTAAATCATTCTAATTGTAATCGAATTTTTAACTGACAGTCTTAAAATAACATTTCCTGCATATAATATAGTAATTATTGATACAAAGGGTATATATTAATCATTCGTACTTCTTTTGTTATCTATTGCGAGTAGATTTAGACGTTTACACGCATGATTTCAAACTTCAAACAAACAAAAAATCATCTCAATTTCTTTTTAATAAATATTGTATAATTCACTCAATTCTTTCACAAATTTACACATGTATCTTTATTTTCTATTTTTATTTTTATTACATTCTAATATGTTCATTTTTAATGTGTGTGTGTGTGTGTGTGTGTGTGCGCGCGCGCGCGCGTGCGTGCGTACGTGCGTGCGTGTGTGTGTGTGTATTGATTATGCGGGCTTGACGAAGGTCATTGACGTGAGAAATTTTATCTTACACGTATAAATCAGTTGGCTTGATAAACGAGAAAATTAATAGTTTGAGTTGTTCAACAATATTTTACTAACTTTAACAATTTCAATTACATAACAAGTATTTAACAAATAACAAATATATAGCGCCTAAATTTTATAAACTTTTCAAATAGAAATGTCCCTTTAATATTTAAAATGTTCTGAATACTATTATTATTATTATTATTATTATTATTATTATTATTATTATTGTTATATAGTATTTAAAATTTTTATTCTATCTGTACTTACTGTATTTGATCACAATTTATGTAATATAATTGATTTCAAGATACGCATACAACTCATCTTTATTTTTAATGATAATATGTATGTATTTATTTATTTATTTTAAATGATAATAATGAAGTTGAGAAAAAGTCAAATCATATCGAGAATAAAATCATTGAAAAAAAAAGATGTCAGCGATTAATATTAACATAATTATTGAAATTATATTATATCAATTCAATATTATACAATGTGCTTCTTGTCAATAATTACGCTATTATCGTTCAGAAAAGTGACAAATTAATTAATGTCGTAGGTTTCAATGCAATAATTAAAAATTCGCCAACAAATAAAAATAAATGAAATATTACCGAATTTATTTATGATCGATAGAAAATTTGTGTTTATTTTCAATTTTCATAGAAAATTTCTTTTCCACTTGAAACAATAATTTTGATAATAATTATTATCTTCTATATTCCATTATTTATATTCTATTGCAACATATCCCTCTATCATTTTACATTTATTATCACAGACTATATTTTCATTGTATTCTCAATAAGTCGGAAACTGGATTTATTGTCCTCATATCAAATTGTAATTAAAATATAAATTTAATGCAATTAAAGAGGATATATTTCATTGCGTAGTATACCTAAATTATTTATAAATTATATATTTAATCTTAATCTAAGCTAACATTTTTAGAATCTTTTCGGTTAATATTTGCAGAAAGACCATATTTATTGAAATTTATCTTAAAAGTTTAAATTGTTTTTCGAAAGGCTGCATCAAAATCATTTTCAACTCCAAGTATTTCTTTTCATAAATATGGTTTTGAATCTTTCTATCAACAATACATAAAATATATTCAAGAAACAATACATAAAATACTGACATACAAACACGCATATTATTACCTATTTAAGCTCAATTACTTGATTGAATTATCTACACTTATGCAAGTGTAAATATAGTTTTATTCTTAAGAATAATTTTTGGCATTCGACCAAAAAAGTTCTTTAAATAAGTTTTGTGAATATGTAGCAATTTATAATCCGAAAAGTAGGTCTAAAGTCATAATTAATAGTTTTATTGCAAAAATACTTTCTTAAGTATCTATTTTCCAGCATTTTATTTGAAGTTTAAAGAGTTTTTACAAACTTGAGCTTTCACTAGCCCGACTACTTTGTAATACAGTGATCAAGTAAAATATGAAAATTAATTCAAGTATCCACTCACCAAATCTATCGATTTTTAACGATCTAGCAGTTTTCGGGTAATCGTCCACATGGTCTACGACGTCACGTGATGATCCCATTTCAAGCGCTGCTAATGAGCATCTCTCATTCTCGAGGAATGTGCCTATCGAATGTCGACGTTGACGGCGTTGCTGCTGTTGTTGTTGCTGCTGTTGTTGTTGCTGCTGATGCTGCTGCTGCTGCTGCTGCTGCTGCTGCTGCTGCTGCTGCTGCTGGTGGTGGTGGTGCTGCTGCTGTTGCTGGTGCTGTTGCTGCTGTTTTCGCCTGCCCATGCTCGAGTACATGGGACTTCCCTATTTTGGAACATGAAGATTATCGATCGAAAGTCCATGAGAATAGCGATACCCTTATCAAAATTATTACAACGCGACATTGGATTTAATGAGATTAATAATATTTTCTTAACATTAATGCGACATTTTTAAATAAAGTCTTAATTCTGAAAATGTGATGAGTTATGAATGAACGACCAGAATTTATATTGTATTTTACTCATAAATTTATTAAAAGTGTATTATTAAAGTTTTTGAAATACAGGGAAGTCACATACGAATAAATACATCGATTCGTTATTATTTTTATATATTTATTTTTTTTTTTTAACTTACATTAAATCATAAAATGTTTTCCATCACAATATAAAATTTTTTTTAATAATTTAACTATAAGAATGTTTCATTTGAAAAACGTGGTTCACTCGAACGTGATTCATTTGGATTTATTTGACCAACAATGTTTATTACGGTATAATTAAAAAGAGGGAAAAAATGTAAAAAAAAAAAAAATGGTTAGAGTATGTCATAAGCTTGAATGACAACGACATTTTTATGAGCTTTTAAATAAAATCTTGAAAGCATTAAGCTTTCAGATTGACGGAATCAATATTTAACATTCAATATATAAAGTCAAAAGTGAAAATAATTAATTAAGAAAATGAATTCGAAATAAATAAAATTGAATTTTTTAGCCTTTATCCCTAGGAGCGTAATTTGCAAATTCTCATAAGTACTAATATTATAACATACGTTGATTTAATAAAAGAATCTTTCACGTGGCTGATAGTTTATTGCGACAATATTTTTTATATATATTTTATTTTATCAGTATAAAGTTTTGAATAAGCGAATCCTTTGTTTGAGAATTGTCATGAAATATTCCAATGTTCGAGCTGAACTAATTTAGATAGAAAACTCGAGCATCTACTATTCAAAGGACTTATTAATATCGCAGAAAATAGGTCCACGATAAAATACGAGAAAGGTAATGTATTCAAGTCTCGAGCATATCGAAGGAATTGCCTTAAGGCTCGACTACGAAGACGACGACCGACCGACCGACCGACTCATGTTTCGCCACGTGACAGAGCTACTTTCACGCAAAAAGTTATCGCGACTGCCAATGACTCAGTAATAAATAAACAAATCAAGAGCAACCGTATTTGACAAGTAACTGAGCAAACTGACCAAGCTAGGAAACGTGGCCGTGAGATTGTAGTAGCTCCGGGCATCCTCGATGTCGTCTAACGGTAGGGTTGCGACGGTCGCCTCGCTTCCGCACTCCGAATTACGCTCGAAGCGATAATAATCGTTGTCCTCGGTACGTCGGGGTAGCACCGCGGCGCCACCCTCGGATGACAGCCCGCAGAAGATCATGTCGACATTCAGGAGCTCGCTCGTCGACTTGGGCAGTCGTCGCCGTGCCACTTTGCACCTGCCGCTCTCCGAGTGTGCGTGAGATCTGCGTTTAATGGACCATGAGATTTTGCGCGAATTTATTGACGAACGAGTGGCTGCGATTAGGGGGAGGGAGGAAAGGGGTGGACACTCTTATACCATTGAAGCTAGTTAGTATGGAATACCTGGAAGGCCTTGACTTATTCGCGTGTCGCTTACAAACTCTCTGTGCTATGCTCCAATAAAGATGAATGCAGCAGCACATCAGGCAGATAACATTATTGACTATTTTGTATATTTACATTGTGTACAAAGAGCATTTTTCTATGTGTATAAGTCTATCATTGGATAAGTCTAATATTTCGATAGATAAGTGTAGTATTATATTAATAACTATGCAGTACCTACAACTTTTGCACTTTGGTCAGATTATAAATCTAAAATATTGAACGATAATAACTTAGAATAGAATAAACTTCTATTTATTTATAGGTAGCTACTTTTATAAGCTCCGTATAGTTTATGTAGTTTAAATAAATAATATTTTCCTATTAATCTTAATTTCGCAGTTGAGATCAAAATAGTTTTTTTTTTTTTTTTTTTTTTTTTTTTTTGTTTAAAAAAAATGTATCATCAACAATTAACAAATATTTGTTTATGAGCAAATATAAAATAAAAGAAGATTGATATTTAACACGCTGATATATTGAAATAGGTACATTACATAAACTTTATTTAACGTTTACAAGTTACTGGATGGATTTACAAGTTCTAACGCAGTGTAGTTTTATAAGAGCGTACACAAATTGTCATTTTGTATTCAAGAGGGAATTTAATCCAAGTATTTTATATGAATTCATCGTTCATATTGAATTATTTAATACAAATATTCAACGTCAAAAAGTAAGATACGCAACTTACGTAATATTAATAAGAAAAAAACATTATTTCTTGTCTAGATTGGATAAAAAATACTTATGAACTGTTGTGTTTTGCTTTGGAAACAGTGTTTACCATTAAACGATATTTTACGGTATTCAGAATAATCAATAATATATTATACATTACATATTTATAAGGTTAAACTCCAAATAATTACTTGAAATTTATTTTAAATAATATAATCTCCAATTTTAATAACATTTATTGGCTTCATTTACTCACTAATGGTAGTTATTTTAATGATTATCAATTATCAATTGTAAATGTTAGTTTTTCGAATTCAAAGATTATCAAAAAACAAAGGATACAATTTATGATATTTTATGTAAAAGCTTTTAATGAAAAGTTAAACAAATATATTTATATTCGATTATACGAAATTTGAAAATGACTTTCTAATTGTATAATGTCTAATGTTCGAAAATAATAAAAGAGAGCGGTGATTTCGTTCATAATAATTTTTGAAAAAGTTTTGATTACAATGCATACAACTAAGTTATAAAAACTTTTTTAATTAGATAAGCTGTCGTTTGTCGATTCTTTTCAACAAATTACGTTCATTAGCGGAAGATTTAAATTTAAAAGTTAGTAAATGTAGTAGATATACGAGCGTGTGCACGTGCACATACATTTCTTCATGGACATTTGATTTTACTTTTATAACGTTTATTTCACTTAAATCTGTTTTTATATATAATATTTCAGGTAACATATACATTGGCGAATGAATTTTACATACATATCAAAAGGATTATTAAATTGCAATGCTCGTTATGCAAATATTTGCTACGAATTTTACAATCGTGGTAAAATATATAGTTAACCGTTTTAGAAAGGGAAGGTTGAGAATGTAATTATTTTTTTAAAATTGGAGCATGAACTAGAAATGAGTCTTACGTATTCGCTTTAAATCCTCATTAACGACCCACCTGCTATTGAGATACGGTGACGGGGGTGCAACATCGGAGGGCCGCGGCTCTCCCTTGAGGAACTGCCTCGTTTTCTCGCAGTCGGCACTGGCGCTCGCCGATCTGAAGAGATTCCTGAAGCTCCTCCTCTGGCAGCCGACGCTGGTAATGGGGCTCCTGGGCTGTTCCCGCGCATACCGATTGCTCGTTATTTTGTTGGAACTTTTGTTACGTCGAAAGAGGCCACCCAGGCTGCGCGTCATCGGCATCGTCCCCTGGGAGCTGGCGGTCGGGCTCCCAATGTTGGCTGATGAGTCGCCGGCACGCAATGAGAAGTACGATGGATTATCTGTGGATGGAGGGAAAAACGTTCTTGGAAGCTTATAAAAATGAGGGCGAGGAATTATTGTCGTATACCTATAATGCATTTGCGACAGAAGATTTTAAGACAATGCCGTTTCTGAGTATTTAATAGTAAGAAATAGTAAATGTTGGATAATGTAGCTGTGCTCATTCATGCATTTAACGAACTTGTAGTCATCGCAAGCTTTCCCGAGTCATATTAAAATTACGATCTGTTATTATTGTTATTATTATTATTATTATTATTATTATTATTCCATTAGTTTATGGAGCAATTTCACTTTCATATTTCTTAATTGGAATTTTCATAGCGAACAGTTCTTATCTATTTGATCATTGGTCATTGATACCCAAAGGGACGGCGTAACATATAATATTAGCATTTGAAATTATATTGGTTTTGATGTTAATCAATATTTATAAATAAGAAATAATGTATAGTTCAATATGACTATAATTAAAATGTTTATGAAATTCACATTTATATTTATATTTTTGATATAAACATATAATGCTCATTACCGGTAATAATCTTTCTCTAAATGCATAACAAAATAGTAATGATTATCTAAAATTTGTTTATTATTTTAATACTAGATTATTATAAATTATTTCAAATTAAATTGACTAATACTAAAAATATAAATTTAATAAAAATTTAATTTATAATTAATATCAAGTTTATAATAAATTAAAGAATACCAATTCATAATTAAAAATATTTAATAAATTAATAAAATAATTTTTAAAATTCTAATCATTTGTATTTATATATAGAATAAAATGAATAATGTAGTAAGGATAAAAATATTCGTAATTTTTTTTAAAATCCATATAATATGATACTGATATATTGGAAAGAATTAAATTGCATTAAAATGCTATACTTTGTTGTTTTATGTACTATTAAAAAGATGCATTCAATAGATGAAATTAATCGTCATCTAATTAACAGTAGTTTTAAAGCATAAATAAACATATGCACCTACGCATGCACATACACATATGTATAAATAATTTTATTAAAAAAAGTTTTAAGAATAATGTCAAGTGGTTGATTATCTATATTACATGAATCACTTTTAAAATGCTATTATGAAAATTACGTTCCATTTTTTTTTTTTAATTATTGAGTTAATTATTTAATGTATTCATAATTATTAATTTTTATTATTTGGTTAGCCAATATTTTACCTAAATTCGAATTATATTTATATTTTCGTACTTCTGTTATCCGCTATAATGTACATACATGCATATAAACTTCTTTATAAATGCAATTTAAATGTACCCATTTTTCAAATTAAACTATTACTTCTAAGCGAATCAACTAAAATGTCTATAATCAGGGCGTTTAAAATTGTGTAAAAACCACTATAATTATTCATAAACATGCAGAAGTTACGGTTGAGGTATATAATATTATTAAAAAGTGACATATTCTATTTAAAGTAAATATACTATAACGATTGTAGAGTAGAAAAACAACTGAATAAGATATGATAATAAATGAATTTCTTATTTATATAATCTAACCGAATACGGTTTTAAGCGATTGATAATAAAGTAAATGGCAAATCCAAAACTATTTGAATGCGAAAAAATGACGTCGACATTGTACTTTAAAGTATGATTTTTTTAACGTTCTTTTTCATTATAGAATACACGCGAACATAATTAAGGTCAATTGTTGCGAATTGAGAGGGCTTTGTTTCATGTTGGCTTGTATGTATTCCTTTTATTATCAGTCGGAAAGGACTTTTATGTTCTATGGTTGTTTTTTTAATTATTTCACTTAGAGAGGAAGTTACTGGGTTTTATTTCTTAATTGGACTGTAATTAGTAGTGTAAATGATGTATACACTTGAAAATATACATATCGTTTAATTAATTTAAATGTATTTTATTTTTTGTTTATGGAAGTATAGTTATTAGTAAGAGCCTTTAATTTAAATTATGCTGCTTTAATTAACTGTCACTAATATATAATATTGTAATAATTTTGTTTTATTTATCTGTCCTATTTTTAAAATTTATTTTTGTTTTTTTCGTCTCGTAGAAATATTTTGAAGTATTTTGAATTCGTTTAAATGTGAAAATGTGAGGAGAAAAAATGTGAGGAATTTATGGTTTATTTATTCAACAATTATTTGTCAACTTGATTTCGAGCATTATACATTTAATGCTCGAATATTCTACTTTTAAATGCAATTTTCGCACAAATGAACTATCTATTACAAATTTATTTATTGTTCTAATTGTCATTGAAATAATATTATAGAGTATGACATTTTATTCTGTAAATTAAAAGAAATTATAATATTTTCTCTATTATATTCAAACGCTTGAGAACATATTTAGAAGTGCGTTTTTGTATGGTACGGCTTTTTATAAATATGTAAATGCGTATGTGTGCGCGCCCGCGCGTGTGTGCATATGTAAATAGTAGCCAGTAAGTTTAATATGGCTATTACGTTTCTAATACCAACTCATATAAGGGCCAAATGAAAAAAGTAAAGGTCAGCAAAATAGGGCGAGAAAGTTACAGTAGAAGAGAGACAGTCGAAGGAATGAAGGGTACCGGACGTTGCATTGTATATTAAATTTTCGTACTTTTCTCTTTTTATTGCTCTATACAATGTTGTCTGTTGGAGCTGAATAAGTACGCGAAGCGAGATTATGTGCCGACAAATACACGTGGATGAATTGGAGAGGAAAGGGGGTTAGAAAAAATTGAAAAAAGTGAAGAGAGATGCGTGCACCACACCGGAAATGTTGCAGCAGCAACTGTTTTGAATTAAGAAAGCTTTATGAATTTTTCACCTAATCTTTTTTTTTTTTTTTTTTATTTGTTTTTTCATTGACGCCCATATATATATGCCTTGATTAGAATTTTGTAATTATAAAATAAGACTGTCGAATCTTTTTTGTATTTATTTATTGTCGCTTTATTGCAATTAGCAATTATAATTTTAGATTATATTAATCAATTAGAAATTCATATTATTATAATGTAATTTTATTATGAGTATGTATTTAAAATCCCTCAATAATTAAACAATATATCAAGTAAAAATAATTTCACGATAATAATAATAATAATAATAATATTTATCGTAAGTATGAATTATGCGATTCTATATTGAATTGAATGTATAATGATATTTCAAATGTTCAATATTTAAAAGTGCATTACACATTCTTAAACCATAAAATTGCCTAAAAGACTTATATTAAACAGATATGGTCCTATTTCAAAGTACTTGTACAAGGATCAAAGGCGCACTCTGAGTACTATCTGATTACTAAAGGACTACAAAGATTTTCTTCAGCCGCATTCATCGTATTCTCTACAATACGGTAGATCAAAGAAATTTCTTATCTCTTTTTATCCTACCCTTACACAAATTACTCATGATTTTGTACCTCTTCAGAAAAACATAACTTTGAAGTTGTCTTTGGAAGTGGTTTACATACCGGATAACCGTTTACATGATTTGGTAATTTACTAGCTTTATTACTCTACATTTCATATTAAACTTTATCTTTGGAACTTTTGCTTTTACAAGGTTATAACAATACTTTCTATAAAGCTACTTTAAAGATTGATATTCAAACTTATAAATTTGAGCAGCATAAATATTCTTTTAAATTCTTTTGAATCTGACAACGTTATTTATTCTCATCGTACGAATTTTATATTTTATCTAAATTTAAGTAATTCTAAAATATTTGTGTGATTCCCAAACCAATATAAAACAATATAAAAAGTAAAATATAAACTATTTTGTCTTCTATATCTTTAATAATTTAGATTGATTAATATTTGGAAGTTATAAAAATAGTATGAAATTTTTTTTTTAACAGTTTATTAAATTTTCTAATATATTTGGAAAACAAAATTTTTTATTAAATTTGAATGTGAAATTTATTCAAATATAATTTTCATAAGATTTCAAGTATTAACAAGATATTTATCATGATTATATTCCGGTTAGATAAGAATATATAAATCGTTATAAAGTTTATTAAAAACATTTGTCATTATTACTCAATTTTTAGCGTTAAAAAATATTCTTCGTTCGTAATTTTTCACATCGTCCTATAACACTCAACACTGGGAAGCATAACTAATCGTTATAGTTATACATGTGTATAGGCCTACGTATATATATATATATATATATATATATATATATATATGTATATACATACATACACAGAGCCAGACATATAAAGAAGGAAATTAAGAATGAAACGCAAGAAACTGTGAAGAAACTGTGTTGTCTGGCAATGGTTGAGGAAGGAAAATGAAAGGGATGTTAGATGGAGAACCGATGAGAAACATAGAAGAAGGAATGAAAAGTGCCCAAGAAAAAAGGATAAGAAAAGAAGAGAATGACGCAAAAGGCGAGGGAGGTACGTGATTATGCGCACTAGGCACGTGTTTAACATGCACCGGATTGACTTTGCAGAGCGTAAGAGAGCCGTAAAGTGCGCGTGGGTGGGAATTGCAGATATGTGCTGAGGATGCGTCGAGCTGATCATTTGGAAGGGAGGAAGTGGATATGCGCGAGGATACCGTGCGAGGGAAAATAGAATAGACCGTAAACGCGCGCTCGCCTTATTGTTAAATCCCTCACGGCCTTTAGAATCGCGGAGACGGACGACAGGTGTATCAGGGGATGTCGTATTTGGCATTTTTATTTTCTTCCGAATGCATAAAGCGGCGCTGTTTGTACGTAAGCTGTGATTAGGACTGCGTACGCGATCGATTCGGACATTGGTGTTGCATCGGCCTGAGCTGCATGATGAATTAGCCCTGCACTCGACTAATGTGTTTCAGCGAACACAGAGTAAACAGGAAAAACAAAATGAGCCTTTAAATAGCATCGCACATAATGCCAAGATTTCCTTACGACGGCTAGTTTATTTGGCCCCATAACAATTGTTAATTTTAATCCAATGTACGAGCGGTGCCGAGTTTAAATCACCGAGGACTTTGTCGTGCAGCTTTTTACAAATTTTTCAATATCATGAGAATATGAGCGAAATTTATCAGATTCTCAATGGAGATTAGCCAGGAAAAAATTTAACTTATTTTACACAATAAAAGGGATTTTCGTAGAAAGTTTTTTAAAAATGTTAATAATGGTAAAGTAAGTGCTATTAAAATTTCATATGTAACAAGGTGAAGACAGTGACCAAGGTATAAGATCAATATTGACATACTAAAAACTTTTATATCCTTTATTTTTAACATAAACACATTACTGTAATATTGTTTTGAATTAGCATTACTACTTATTACATTTTCCTCGGTTTTTACAAAATAAAAGTTTTTCATGATGGTTAATTAATTTTATTCACTTGATCAATGTTATAGAATACATAATGGTACAGATGTTTTAACGATGTAGACATTAGAAAGAAAGGCCGTTAAAAAATTCATAATACAATATCATTATATCATTAAATTAAGTTTTTTATCCGCAAAATTATAATTATAAATTCATCTATACATCTATATACATAATTGTACATTGAAAAATATTTGAGTTTTATTTCATTTTAGGAAAACTATGCGTTTTATATTTGTGAAGTCGTGGTAGTCTGATAAATTATTACAAAACACACACGCACGCACGCACGCACGCACGCACGCACGCACGCACGCACATACACAATCATATCGACTGAATTTTATGGTTCGAGTCTAGATAATTTTAATTATAATAATTCTTTTTAATCATAATATTATTAAGATGTCTCTAGATTAATGATATGTAAAATTCTCATTCATTTTGCAATATAATAAAAAAAATGAAGTATTTTATCGGAATATTTATGATTAATGACGTGACGACTAATCAAAATTTTCACGTTCAACTTTTCTCTTATGACTTAAAGAGAGGATCATGTGACTTATGAAAATTTAATACTAAGAAAACTTACCAACAGCCATTGTTGAAAATGCTTGCTTCACGTGAATTTATGAATTGCCAAAGTACATGTATTTCTGAAATAAACAAATAATTACAATTAACGTTCACATACATATCAATTAATTTGAATTTATTAAAAAAATTCTAAGCACTACTACGTAATCACATAGGAACATTGTCAATTAGATACAAAAATAATTGTAAATAACTGCAGCTTGTAATACATGGTTAAAAATATTCTTACTAGACTCTTTCATAACCTTCCACGTAATCATCAGTGCACAGCTTTAATCCCTGACTCAACTAACTAATCGAATCCATGTTCGAAGGCCAATTCGAGCCAGCATCGCACATGATTTACCAGTCCAAATTGTCAAGGCGAAGCGCATGATAACTAAGCTCGACTTGCTAGATCAACGCCTCTCGCGGCCTTTCTCGCCCTGCATTCGGAGCTTTCCAACTTATTCGTAAGTTGCCAGGAACGAGAGGCTCCGACTTCAACAGTCTCCCACTTTCAAGCAAGAGGCCGCTTAATTGAAGTTCTCGTGGTAGCATCGACAGTGCCCGGGGCGCATAAACTTCATTCATCAGCCCCGTATTTATAGCTCGCTGTGAGCCGTTTCCACGGGTCCATTCACCGGGACTTCAGCTGCCGGGGAATTTCGCATTCGCGTCGCGTGCCGCGATAAAGTCGCGCCTTCCTTAGTGTCGCCGCGCCTTTATCTCTTATATTTACTTGCTGGGAATTGGTTTCGTAGCTTCTCTTGCCCCACCAATGATACCTGGAAGAATGGCCTTTTGTATCCTTTATCACTGCGCTACGCATATCCTGGACTGTTTTCTCTTTCATTGGCTAGTCCGACAAAGATGTATCTGAATTTCTATTTATCTCGAGCCTTCGAGCCGTCGGCTTTCGAGTATTCAATTCATTGTTTCTTCTTTCCAGAAATGAAGAATGTTTTTTTTTTTTTGCGATTCCCGGAATCTCGTTCCTTATGCTTAACGATTGCTGCGCGAGAACTTTTGACTTTTTAACATTTGCACTTTCTGCCATTTTCAAAAACAAAGCACATATTAATAATAAACAACCGACAAGAATATATGCCTGACTGAAATATATCCCAAAGGTACTAAAACTCATATAAATTCATTGGACATATCAATGCTGATTGATTTATGCACTTCAACATTTCAGCTCGATATTATAGATATATATATATATATATATATTTTTTTTTTTGCTTTTGTAACTTCGTATTAAAAATGTGTCATACAGCAGCACTGTTAAATAACGGTTTTCCTCTCAACAAATGACATTTCATATTAAACGTTATTTAGCGAACTACTTTCTCTTAACTTTATAAATTATAAATCATTATTATTATTAAAGTGTTTGATTAGGTATTCAACGAGCTATGGAAATTAATGATCTACTGTAGAGAATAATTGTTGATATACTCATGAGTGGAAACTTTCAGCTCAATATATTCCTTAAATTTTTTAAAATAAAACTATATTATTTACGTAAAAAGACCATATTCAGAACATTATATATTTTGTATATTATCATTTATACTTTACACATAGTTAAAAAAAAAATATATATATATATATATATATATATATATATAAATATATAAATATAATAACTTAGTATTTGTAAAAATGTTCACCAAAACAAGAACGTCAAAAGAAGAGAAATTTTAATTTACATTACAAACTATTATTTCATGCGTAAAATCTATTATTTTGTTGTTATTATTGTTATTATTGTTATTATTATTTAAAATAATAAGCTTTGTATTTAAATTTTTAATTTACATTGATTTTGTTCGCGTTAATATTGATTGTTCGTTAAATCAACATGAAATTCGTCGATTGTTTCCAGTTCTTTTCAAAGTGAGAAAAATTGCGCGCCTATTTGAAAAAGCTCGAGATATGGAGCTAAAAGACGTCGGGCCTTGACACGTCGTCGTGTGCGCGTGATTTTTTGCGAGGCTTCGTATTCGGTCCGATTTAAATACGTAATGCGTATTTTTGCTCTGCTCGATAAAAAGAAACTAAAAGTCTAAAGTTGAGGGAAAAAAGGCTCTAAGAGAAATGCGCAAAGAAAAAGAAAAATAGCTAGTAGATGGGGAAATCTTTACGTTATAAATCTTCTAGAAGATGCGCTTTTTTATTCGCTTTAGCATTTTAATTTTGTGTACAGGATTGAGGCGTGTACAATTTGTTTTGGTGTATTCTAACTTGGTATCGTTTTATTAAAATTTGTGTTTTATACGCTATAATGAAAATAATAATAAAAATTGAAGCTATAAATCTTTACAGGGGACTATAGGGTGTACACCGTCTACTATGCTTTCAAAAAGTTATAATTTCAATGTGAAAATATTAAATGATAAAAAATTCAAATATAATAAATAAAAATATTTAATATAAAATCATAAACGTTTAAAGTAATTGAATATTATACTATATATATATATATATATGTATATATATATATATCTTATTAATTATTATTATTTTATGATATTATCCTAGTAAAAAAAAAAAAAATAAAAAAATAAAATTAAAACTTTAAAAATAATAAATAAAAAAATAGCTAGTTAGTGAAAGTTTATTTAAGCTTTTAAATTGTTAAATTTTATACATATTTTTGTTTGCATTAAAATTTCAAACGTAATTTTTAGCTCTACCCTCTCTCTTATGACAATTAATAATTTCTATAATAAATAAATGAATTCAATGTACAATATCTAATACTTTTATGTACTCGTTACTGTTTTAATTAAACTTAAAATTATGTTTGCCAAATATAGGTTATAATTGTTTATCAAATAAATAATATCTTTTCTAACTTTTTGCAAATACATAATATATATATATATATATAGTAGAAATGTCAATGCTTAAGTTATACTTAATCGTATTGCATACTCGCGACATCCATTTAACTGAAATATATATGCTTGACGTGTCTGAATAATATCGAAATGTATGAAAAGTTTCTCTGTAAAAAATTGCAGGAAGTAAATGTAAATAGTGCGCAGACAAAGTTAAACGTGATACGTATATCAACATGAATTCCCAGCGTATTGCCGGTAATATACAGTTACAAAGTACCGCCATATGGGCAAAAAAAAATCATCATAAAAAAGAAAAAATGCAAAAAAACTCGAAGACAGAATCTTAAAAGTTAAGAGAAGATAAATCATTGAGATAAAACATAAAAGAGACGCAAATATATAAGTCGTTATTACAAGAGGAATAGACATTGAAGAAAGAAAAAGGATGAGAAAATGGTATAGATAAAGTCAGATAGAGTCAGAGAAAAAGAAGAGGGAGAGTTAATTGCTCGCGCGACGTCTATTTTAAGTCACCCTTCGAAGCTGCAAGCGCGTTGCTCGGGAAGAAAGTCAAGGAAAGCTGCAACGAAATCGCTGCCAAGCTACCAACAGGAATTCTTTTAACGTACGGACATCGAGACAACTACTGTGATTTCATTGCCGAGATTATAGGGAAGCCTTTAATGCTTCCTAGGCTGCTTATTACGGAATACTTATCACGGAACTTCAATTCTTATCAGCCGATGCTACCAACTTTTCCTTCGCCTTTTTACAGACTGGAATGCTTCATTTCTTTTCTTCTTCTTTTTCTTTTCTTTTTTCTTTTTTGTTTTTTTTTTTTTTTGCGCGCGTTACACAACGCGCGTGGCTAATAAGAAACGTGCTTGGAAATGCTATTCGCAAAATCCATTATCACTGTTGCTTCTTAAGCCTCTTTATGGATTATTAATCCTACAAATGATTAACGATCTATATTTTTAAGAAATTTAAGAAAGATTTTCACATGATAGCATAGCTTTCAAAAGATTATGGAATGACATTGATCTTGCTTGATAGGATCAATTTGAATTTATTGGCCTTTAAACATATACGATAGTTATTTCAATATGTGAAAGAATGTTCTTCTATATTCTATTATGAGCAATGTTTATAATTTCATGAAATTCTTATACATTCTTATACATTATTACAAAAGCAATGTTTTCTTTTTGAATTTTAGAATTTATCATTTAAATAATCCTTACATAGCTATGCGCTAATTTGTATAGGTATTTCACGCTTGACAAAATAATCAGCTGTAAAAGAAAAGTGACAAAAATACTATTTTTATGCATTCTAAACGAAAGAAATGAAAGAAAATGTACTTAAAAAAAAAAAAAAAACAAACAAAAAAAAAAGCAAAATCAATAAATAATCTATATGAAAAAGAAGTATGCAGCTAATCGCGCATGACGGTCCCCCAAATCCATTACCAAAACAATTCTCCTTTGCTTTATGTATACGCCCGTGAACATGTCGAATTGACGATACCAGGTGGGACCTAAACTTAGAATGACCTTTACTAAAGTTCAGGCCTGATGTATAAACTCTCACCGATCATCCACCTGCGCATGTCTGCAGTTTCCGATATGTGCATCTGCTACCCCTGTTGCTAATACAAACGCAATTCCTATAATTAAACTCGTGATATAACCTCCATTACTCTCCTTTCTCAATAAATATATTGATATATTTTATTACCATTTTCAATTATGTTAACTCAATTATTATTTACACAAATATCAAATATGTTCTGAAATATGTTAATAAATTTTAAATAAATTATAGCTTTAAAATTTTAATACTATTATGGGAACTGAATAAATTTTAAAGACGATTTTCATCATCTATACGTTTGAAGCTTTAGTCTACTAAATATTGTAACTATAAAATTTTCACTTACAATAACAGTCGACTCTATAAAATTAATCATAATATTATTAGTTTAATTAACAACTAATCTAGTAACTCCAATAAATTATAAGCCTCGAATTTAAGCTCAAAAGCAATGTCAATATATTGAAAAGAATAAATTCACAATATTTATTGACATACGTATTGACAATATTCTACTTATTATTACAAAATTAACAATTATTCAAGAAATAAGTAACGATAGATAAAAAATATTGCATTACAACTAAATCATAAATAACTTTACATTACTAAATCTCATGCTCAATGTCAGTTTTGAATTTTTGAATAATCAATACTGAACTGAATGTATAATGTAGTTGTCCAGTATCATACTATTATTATTGTATTATACGTATGGCCTATATATAATTCAAGGTCGTGGTAAAATAAATCATAAATATACTAGTGCAGTAAGGATATTAAAATTTATCATAGTTTTCACGTATCATTGTTGTACAATGGGCGTACAATATTTATTAAACCGAATGATAAATTTTGATAAAGACTATACTTTCCATCACAATTAAAATAATAATATTTACATTTTGACTATTTTACATAATAATAAAAAAAAAACTAGTTCTTTTCGAAATAAAGGTATTATATAAAATTTATTACTTAAAGTTAGTTTGATTAATATCTAAAATTATAAATAAAACTGAAAGTAAATCAATGTTCATTTTATTCAAGGCATCTTATTCATCAGGAATAAAAATTTGCAATTAATAGAATTACTTTTTCATTACATTTACATTAAGCTTTCTTTAAAACGTATTTTTTTTACTGTTACAATTGCCTGTAATTTAATTCGTTAATTCGTATTATTATATTTTCCAGCAATATTTTCTTTTAAATACAAACGTTTTGTAATAAATATTAGTCTTTACCCTAAATTTTTCAATTGTATTATATAATAGGCTTTGAAAAAAACATTATATTTGTTTCAAGAACAAATATAAAATAATAAAATAAACATATCGTATAGAAATATACACATTGTATGTAAATTATGTATAAAAATTATTTAACATTTCTGTAAAGTAAGAACTTTAAATGAAATGAAATTATACGAATTACGTACTATATATGTTTATGCTTAGTTGTGAGTTTCTTTTATTTTTTCTTCTTTTTTTAATTAAAATTTGAAATTTTAATAAAAACAGTCTTAAGGTGTTACATTATTTTCTTTGGTTACATAATTAATTAACAAAAAATTAATTTACTTGTTCAAATCAAAGTACTCCATTAATATATTCGTCTTATTGAAAATGGTTATTAAAATTGTATGGCAAAATGAAATTTATTTTTTATATTAAAAGTGCTATTAATATATAATAATAAAAAAAATATTAATTAATCTATATTGGTTAGAAATATTTTAAAGTACGTTTTCACTATTGAAATGCTGATACATATTAATTTGTTCTATTTATTTTATTTAAATAATAAAATGTTTATTTATATTACTTCAGATTTGATTTTCAATAGTTATTAATTATTAATTCAGTAAGCTATTAATTCAATAATATCAATTTTCAATATTTAAAAAAAATTATACTTTCCTTCTTTCAACAAATAAATGAAATGGAATGTTAAAATAAATAAAATCGCAGAGGTGATAATTTATAAATCCCTAGCAATTAAGACTTGGCCTACATTATTG